AACTGGGAGAAAAGTGTGAAACCATATTTACATCAAATGAACTTTAACATTTAATCTTCATTACAGTGATAAGTTTTTCTCTACTTTCTGTTATTAAACTTTAATTTACAGTTTTTATGATATTTAAATGTTTAAACGAATTCTGTTGGAAAATAAAATTAAGCATGAATGGGATGAAGAAAGTGTGCGGTTGACGATCCCAAGCCGCATGAGAATCGATTAGGGTTGGGAAACGTGTAGAGGTCTCCAGTAAAATTTAGCCACCTGGTTTCCATGGTATTGTCGTAATCGAACGTCATACCGACTCTATCTTCGCTTGGGTTATGGTTACCAGGGATCGTGCAGGCTGTTGGGGAACTGTTTTCGCAGAGGGCGAAAATTCGGCGATCAGAACCTGCTTCTCGCAACTACTATCGAAGAAAAGACGAAGATACCGGTCAATGATAGAGCATCTACCCGTTCTAAATGGAGGAGGCAGACAGCGCGATGCCATTATAGCCCGTCACATTAGGAATGAGACGTTCTGGCGCCCCCTGTTTGGGACGTAGACTGCTCGTCTTCAGCACGATGGTGGTCACCACTTCGAACATCCATACCTTGACAGTGGTCAACTGCCTCAACGTGCATTTCCGCCGTCACGAGTTTGAATTTGTCATTGGTAGGTGATCATCTGTAGCAACTATTCGACTTCAATCTTAGTACTGCCTATCACTGGAAAGCGAGTACTTAGAGTACAATGCGATTGCCAAACTGAATCTCGATGATTTTCATTTTATTTTGATTCCGTCGTGATGAATACGCGAGGTCCCAAAGTCATTTAATCGACAGTCAGAGGTTATGTAATTGCAGGCGATGATCTGTAGAAATTATTTGATTTGATCCCTCACATCGTGGAGAGCTGTGAGCAAAATGTTAAACTTTCGTCATCTCTTTTCAGTAAAGCAATGCAGCCACTGCGTCATTTCATTAAGTGGGTTTTATAAATTTAGTGCTTACTCAGCGGCACTGCCTCACTCATCTTTAACTTTTATGTGTAGAACTTATTTTAATGTAACTAATTACATTAAATTTCTTTTCTGCTTTAAACTGAACTGCTTGCGTCCAGCAGTACTTTACTCTTTCCTTTCGGGCAATGCGTTCAATGTTCCAGCGTCGGCTCGTTAATACTCTTTTGGTTTTGTATTTTCCTCGTTCCTATAAATCGAATCGGAAGACTTGAATTGACCATTAAAACCAATTTGGTTGTCTTGTAGCTCGCGTGACTACCGTTCATTGGTATTACTGCATATATTTGTTACTTTTGCTCCTATTTGTTTATTTGTCTACGTATAGATAAATCTACGCTGGTAACACTTATTATTTAGCAGTAAACTCTAAACTTAATACCAGAAAAAAACTGGCTTGTAATCTTCATCTGAGAATGTTAAGCAAATGAATCTGAGTTCAAAATATGTACAAGTAAACACCACGTTCGTGCATATTACTAATGAATTAACGAATATTCACGCATAAATTCAAAATAAGTACAGAACAGTTTAACAGCTCATTGATCGTTCCAATGTGGCCATGATGATGGGCAAACCAAATGACATTTTTCGTATTATCCGGCTCTTAGCAAATGTGACAGCGTACCAAACTCGCCTCACGTTTAGGTACACACTTGCTTATGTTAGAGTCGTCCATTTTTTACCTCCGTGAAATTCGATCAACCACGTCTTGATTCAGTTACGATATTGACTAGTCACACACTGATCCAATCACAGATTGCAAGCAGAAACTGTGCAGAAGGGATTTCGACAAGTTAGCTCACGTTCGTGTCTTAGATGTGACGCAACAACATAGCTCTTTTCAATGGCCCGCTGGAATAAATTACGCAAAGTAATAAATCACGTCATCATGTCCTTTCCTATATACAGTGAAAAGCATAATTTAACGATCAATCTTAAGTTTTGAGGTAGCCTTAGTGATTACTCTCGGTCATTAATGTAGGGCCACTAACGACTGCTGGATATACCCATGAAACATTCGTGGCTAGTTCGTGCAACATATGCAAAGATCCATGCAAATTATATGCATATAACTGTCAAACATTCAAGTGCATAACCTTTTCACGTGTCTGCATGTTACATAATCACAGATTTTTCATTGCGAGGTCACTGCAAATTAACGTTTCGAATTTTACGTCCATGTTAGTTAATAAGCGCATAACAGTACGAAGTCAGATTCGTGGTGTTATGGCATGGCTCGACCGCGTCATTGGTGACGGGTTCTGAAATTATTCGAGGAGCCTTTGCACTGCAGATATTAAAATGTCATGAAGCTGTGTTCTGCCTACAGAACACACTGCTTTTGTCAAACATCGGCATGAGAGTAGCTGAAGAGTACCATGGAAGGTGTACACTTACAAAGCATGGTATTTGAAGGCAACTTTGCCATATTAAATACACAATGCAGCGAAATGCTGAGACCTGTAGACGAACGAGAAAAAAAACGAGTACGATCGTCATTTAGGTTCTGCACCAGGGGCTGCATAGAACCTAAACTGTTGATGCTGACGGGTGGGAAGCGAACATAATTCTCTTTGAACAGCTTAGCGATTCCAAGGATCTTATCGATAGATAATTCAAACTTCATCATTCATACGCTCCAGCATACTTATTGCCTGACTTTCAGCTGCCGTCTCTGGTAATGCTGTGTAAGTCATCACTGTCAACGCTGTAAATAAGATCTGGTCATTGCACAGCTGCTTGCTGGAGGTTACGCGATGGCTTAGCTCTAACCCAATCGTGCAGACAATGAAGACAAACAAACAAACATGAGTGCAGAATAATGACAGATGTCAATGTGCAGGTCGAAAACACTGATTAAATATTTATCTCCACATGTATATGTTAACTCGACGAAACCCAACGGCAGAACAATGATTGATCTCAATTATAGGAAGTTTCATCCGACGGACTGCGAACGTCGTCTACTCTGAGAATCATACGAACCACCTGAGTGGCCAACGAAATCTGCTGTCTTTTAGCCATTAGCGGTTCAAACACGTTTTGCACCTTCATATCTAAAAACAAAAGAATCGTCAAGTAAATGACAAATAACACTCTTCTACAACGAAGCTCAGAATGATACAAGGCAAGTCACTATAGGTCGGTTCAATTGTAATTTCATCATCAAACGCAAATGAAATTATTATAGGTTTTAAGCACGTCAATGAATGTCGGTGCCTGTCTAAACACTAAACTAACGAACTGCAAAGGCTAAATACAAACCCATCTGCTCTTCTCTTTTATTCCCTATTGAAACAGACATTTAAGGGTGCCAAATGAACTGCAGCCACCATCACTGTTTAGTCCAGGCTTATGATACAGATCAGCGCGACTCTACGGCAATTCTCTGATACTTTCTTTATATGCGACCATCTGGAGTACTGTGATGAACTCTTAAAGTCTATGAAGTGGTTGATCATTATAAGACGGATTTTGTTAGAGCTGGTATAAAGTAATGATTATCCGGAGGTTAAAGTATTTGACGGAACGTAATCGAAATGTGAACGCGCCAGTGATTCGTTTTAAGGAAGCGACATTTTGTCGCTCAACCCAGTCTAAATAATACTGCTAAAAACTAAATCTCTTGGCACGCTGTAAATATGACGAAGTGATAATCCGAACGATTAAAGAGATTAATATACAATTACAAAAATTAATGTTTTGTAATACATGACAGAACTACTA